TTTGGTCTTTAATTCAGACACTTCAGTTGCATTAGTTTGTTCTGTTTCTGATTTGTTGTTACTGCTGGGTTGAGCAGGCTGGCTTTCTCTGCCTCTCAATAGGGAGAACTCTGCATTATCTAAAGCCAAGAAGAACAGGATCTCTAGAAATAGTCTACTTTAATCTACTGGGAGGTCATATATAGAGCTGCATTTAGATGTATAAAGAACACACAAGGATGGTGACTGCAGCATTATTTATGTTAGCAAAGGATTAAAAGTGACCTAAGTGCCATCAGTAAGGGGATCATTAAATAAATAAATGGTTGTTCAAACAGAAAACTGAGAAGCTGTTAACGAGACTAAGGGTATGTACATATGTGAACTGAGGACATTTGCCAAGCTCTATTGCTACAAGTGAAGCAAGGAGAGGAAAGTCTGTACAGTATCCTACTTGTGGAAGAAAGAAGCACATGGATACAATATTTGCATGATCTGTCTTTGACAGGCCACACAAGAATCTAGTAAGCATGGCTGCCTCCAGAGGTGACAGGGTGAGAGATTATCTTGTTAGTATTTTCCCTTTTGTAACTTGAATGTTGTGTCATTTGCATGTATTGCCTATTTCCCCCAAATTAAGGAAATTGTTCAACATTTGATTGAAGAAAATTTCAAGTATACACACAAATACTACATGGATTCACTTACCTATCTCTTAGCCAATTTGTCTTGTCTCTCTTCCCTCCCTTTCACCTTTAAAGAGATCCAGCCACTTTTTCTTGAATACTCATTCCTCAGATTGTTGGAAACCCTTAGCTGATTTCCCAAGTTCTGAACAACAGAAAAGGTTGATTTTGACACATTTGCCAGTGTTTTTGTTGCTTCTGAGGGGAGTCTTTTTGGATGTCCCTACTAACCATTCCTGCCGATGTCCTTGGCTGGAACCTTTTAAAGCAAATACTGGACGTAATATCATTTAACCAACAAATACTTCAGAATGTAACTAACAGAAAAAGATTTCTAAAATGTAATCAAAATATCACTGTTACATGTAAGAAATTGAACAACTCTTTAATGCCATCTAATATCCATCCAATGTTCAAATGTCCCCATTTTTCTCAAAAATATCTCTTCTTTCTTTCCTTTTTTTAGTCAGTTTTTTCAAGTCAGGATCCAAGCAAGCGCTACACGTTGCATTTGGCTGATACGTCTCTTCATCTATAATCTTAACAGTTAATCTGCAACAGTTGCATGCCTCTATTTTTCTTTTTATTAAAGTGTTGTTAATATACAATCCTATATTGGTTTCAAATGTACATCATAGTGTTTCAACAGTCCCTGTGATCCACTTACATTGTGATTGTGAATTATTGTGCCCCTACCTTTATCCCCACATTCCCCCTTGGTAAACACTCGTCACTTCTCAAGGTCTATGAGTCTAATGCTCTTTTGTTTCTTATGTTTTGCTTTGTTTTTATATTGCACAAGTAAGTGAAATAATATGGTATTTGTCTTTCTCTGCCTGGCTTATCTCACTGAGCATAATACCCTCTAGATCCATACATGTTGTTGCAAATGACATGCCTTTGTTTTTAAATAACTTTTTTTGAAGACAGTGGATCACTGGTATATAGAATTTTATAGAAAATACCATATGATTGTCTGCATACTTGTAATGTGTCTCCTAGACAATTGAAGTAAACAATTTTCTGGACAGGACCCACAAGATTGGAGTTGTGAATAGCTTTTGCTTATGGTTAGATTGACTCTTTAAGTTGGCATATTTTAAGGATTTTCAAGGATCAGGACACTTTAATATACTTGAATACCTTCCTTACACTTGTAGCTATAACATATAGGAAGGAACCACTTGTTTTTCACTTGTCTTCTACCTTACCTTTAAAATCCAACTTGAGGTTAAACTCCTTAGGGTCACCTTCTGACCCCATTCCCCCTCTTCAGCCCAGAGAATCCTGTCTTCCATCCTGGCTCTCCTTCAGTGTACCTGCCTTCCTATTCTATAATTACCACATAGAACTGGAATCGTCTGTCAGGGAATTCCTTGACAGCTGGTTTATTCTGTGCCCAGAAGTTACAAGAAATGCAGGACAGTAATTATTTGTGGCATGAATAAGTGGTTTGTTGATTGAGTAGGGGTTCTTTCATACCACCCACTCCCTGTCCTCCCACGGCCACCTCCACCATATTCTTCTCAGGGATTTACAAACACACAGATCCTAGTGTTAAAAACAATAGGCTCAAAATGGAGTCACTTAGGCTAAGCCCCAAGTACCAAACCAAGACTTAATTCAATTAGTTTCGGCTCTCCCAGAAACAGAATCTCTAACAGATCAATCAGGAATGGCCTCATCACCACTAGTTAGGTTATCTGCCTGATACATTCCTGCCCTCCCCTAAAGGAAAGTGCTTTCCGTAACCAGGCCACATTTTTGTCTAGTACAACTTTCTAGTTCTCACTCCCTTCTGCCTATAAAAATCTTATTTCATACAGCTCCTTGGAGCTCTTTTCTGTCTGCTAAATTGGATGCTGCTGGATTCATGAATCATTGAATGAAACCAATAATATCTTTAAAATTGACTGTTAAGAAAAAAACATAGGCCCCAAGTGAAGTCACTTCCGCTAGACCAAGTCACCAAACCAGGGCTTAACACCTAGCCTAAATGCAGTTTCAACCTCTCCCAGAAATGTAGTCTGTCAGGAATTTTCTGGTCAGCGCCAATGAGGTAGTGTGGGTTGTACGAGCCTTCTCCATTATGGGAAAGAAGATGAGGTATCCGCATGATAAGACCCCCTGCTTTTCCCTTAAGGGAAGGTGACCCTGCCTGAAACAGTCCCTTCTGTTCTTTTGTTAATAACTTCTTGCTCCACCCTCCTGCCTATAAAGATCTTCCATTTTGTACAGTTCCTCAGAGCACCTCTCTACTTGTTAGAGGAGATGCCACCCATTTAGGAATTGCCTTGTAAAGCCAATTAGAGCTTCAAATTTATTGGGTTAAATACTGTTTTTTAAAATTACTCAGTTAAATTTTGTTTTTTTTAACACTTAACCTGAAATAAAACTCTTGCTTTCCCAAATCTTTAGGTGTTGCTTCCTATTTTATGATAATTCTTGCTTTCTAGGGGACCTAGAGAATGAAGACTAAATTCTTGACACCTGGGCAGGTGTTCTGATAAGTATCAGAGTAATTATTGAGTAAGTATTAAGTAATGCTCGATAGATTCCAAGTCTAGTCCAAACAAATGGCAAAATGGAAAGAGAAAGAATCCCCAAGTATTGTGGAATGGTAAGCAGTCAATGGGAAATTGTACCAGTCATAATTGGTAACAAATAGAGATTCATTTAGTAGTAAATAATTTTATAATGTTAGTAACCTGTTGCTGCTTAAAAAAAAAACTTTCCTCTTTGGTGATTACAACAGCAAAAGCAAAACACGCGTATTTGAAGAAAATAGTGATCCTCCATCCCACCATTCCCTCAGTTATTTCTTGTTACATATACATAACAGTTCACATTCATGTTCCACTATGATTAGATACTAAGTATCTCTGATATCATCATAAAAATTTTATGTAGGTACTCTGTAATGTCTTCAAAATATTCTGTTGTATGGATGTACCATTCTTTAACCATTCTCTTCTGTTGGACACTTAAAAGTCTCCCATGCATTAGCTACCATCAATAATACCTCAATGAAGGGTTTGTACATAAATCCTCTCCATATTTCTGAAACTATCTGTAGATTTTTAGAATAGGGGGTAGAGTGAAAAGTAATAAATATTTTTAAGATTCTTGATTCATATTGCCAAATTAGCTTTCAAGAGTTAGAAGACAACTTGATTTTAAATTACATTCTGAACTTCATATAAATGGGATCACACAGTGTTCTCTCGGTCTGATTTAACAGTGTGTCGTTTTTATCCAGGTTGTTGCGTTATCAGTAATTAAGTAATCAAGTGTTTCCTGTTGCCGTGTAGTTCACTGTATGACCACACCAAGACTGACTGACCTGCGCAAGTGCTAAATGGGCATTTGGGTTACTAGTGCTTGGTTATGATGAATAAAATTTTTAGGCAGAAAAAGCAGGGTGGAGAGAGATTAAAGCCAGTAAAGCCCACTAAAAGGGACTCAAAGAGTTAACCAGATAAAACCAGAGAGTCAGAAAGGACTCACAGAGTTAATGAGTTTAAGTTTCAGGGGCCAGGAATGACCTGGAATGTCCAGACACTCCCCAGATGAAAAACAACTTCCCAGCTGAGAAGCTTCCAAGCACAGACACTCCCCAGATAAAGAAAACATCAGAGGGCAGGCTCAGCAAACATAAGAGCCCAGACCGTGTCTTCTTTTTACCGCTTAGGCCAGGCCTCCTAGGCCAAAGATTGTCAATTACTTCCCCGCCCTGCCAAAAACCCTCACAGTAAACAGCTTGTCTACCTAACGGTAGGCAGGCCCGCTCTGCAGTACAGACTGGGATGAGATGCACTTTGCCTTGACTTTGGTCTCACCACTCTGACTTCCCTGCCACCCTGAACCCGGGCTCCCCCGCAACAAGGCTGCTGCGCACACTCTTGCCCCAGCCTCGAGCGAATGTACACGCTTGGTCTCGTAGGCAGCTGCTGGGCCACGTGGAGCGGTTATCCTTAGCTTCAGCAGACACTGGAAGTCTTCCTAAGTGCTTGAACCACAGTGCTGTTTTCACAACTCGGCTCTTGAGGAAAGCAGACAACCTGGAGGCATGATCTGTACCGGGTGATGCGTAAAGCCAAAGGCGAGCTTGATTCAGCTGGAGACAGTCGTGTAAATTCTCAAAACACTGTCAGGCAGGCGTCCCACTTCCACGGATGAACGGATAGGCTGAGCAAGGTCCAGCGCCCGTCCCGGTTTGATTCGCGGTGGGTTTGGCACATAACCTGCCGTAACTGCCGCACCGCCCCCGAATAAATCTCTCATGTAAATTTTGGAAAACAGGGTGTTTTTGAGAGCATCAAGGTCAGTTAGCTCACAATGGGAAAAGGGAAGTCAAACTGCGCACCGCTCTCCGCGGGAACAAAGGCAGCGCGCAGCCTAGCAGCGGGCGGACCCGGCCAGGCCCTGCCCCCTACTTGAGCACACGCGCGGATGGAGCCCCCTGGAGCCCGGCGGCCCGGGCGCGATGACGTATGCCGCCCGACGGTGCGTGATGATGACAGCGCGTGCGCTTGGTGGCTCACAGGGAAGATGGCCGCTGCTTCTTTAGAGGAGAGGGACTGAGCGGGGCGGAGGGAGGAGGCCAGACGGGAGACACTCCCGCCAGTAAAGACGAGCCCTTTTCTCGTATTCAGTAGGAGCTCTGCTCAGCGCCGGAGGGTGAGTGCAGCGGCGGCGCGGGACAGCTGGCCTGCAGCAGGCGGCCGCACTCCGCCATTTTCACGCTCGGTCGTTGCGTGCTTTGGGGGCCCGGAGGGCGCCTGGGGACGGGCTGGCGGAGCAGGAAGGATCGGCGTCAGGGCCTCCTGGAGGCCGGTTCGCGCGTGGGGCGGTGGTCCGATCTGAAGGCTTGGGGCTGGCCGGGGAGGGCCGGCACGCCAGGACGCAGGGCCTGAGCCAGACCCGAGCAGCCAGAAGACGCAGGTCGGGTAGGCCCCGGCCGAGACGCGGGGCAGGCGGAGGGAAGCGCGCCCGCCGAGGTCTGGGCATCAGTGGAAGGGGCTGGGCCGAGCCGAATGCAGTGTGGCTTTGAGTGGTTGGTTGAAGGAGGCACCGGAGGTTAAAACCTGTAAACAGCAGCGGAAGCTTTAGCCTCGGTAGCACCATGGCTTGAAAGCGGTATTTGTAACAGGGGTTAAGTCCACAGTTTGACAGGCGACAACTCTGCCCCTTTGGAATAGGTACATTGCTATTTTGTTGCTTAGATTTTCCTACAAGTGTCCCTTTAATAACTCCTTCCACATATCTGACTTTTAAGTTGCCTCCTGGCAGCTAGATAAGGATCTTAGAAAGCATTCTTTAAGAGAATAATAATACGTGGTCGTAACCCTTGTGGTTAAGTGGCTCTTCCCTTGGAGAAGGAAGCGGGGGTATAGGGAATTCCGTAATTGGGTCTGTGAAAAGTTGAAAAGTACGGGTTACTTGTAGAAAGTCTGTCAAGAATGTTTTGAAGTAATTTCTACACAGATGACGTTAACTGTTCAGGAACTTTGGAAGACATTAGAGTATGAGCAAAAAACCTGAGCTGAATCGTTTACCTCTCGGGAGCGCGGATTTGACAAAGTACACCGTGGAGATCTAATGCACGAAGTTTTTTTTTTGTCTGTGATCTCGTGGTGCAATGGTAGATCTGTTTAACTCAAACAGATCCTTTAGAGACTTAGTTAAAACGGAACATATTCATTGTTTCCCCAGTGGCATTTTTCTTTTCCAAATCTTAATTGCATTTGACACCCATCTTTTATTACCATAAGATGCTTGCATTTTTTAACTGGTCTCCTTGCCCAGAAGGTGACAAAATACTCTCTTGATCAGAGTTTGTGCTGAGGCTTGAAGTTCCTTATTTAGCCTGTTTTCTTGAAATTTACGGAAAACTTTTTATCTTTCTGTACTCGTGGGAAAGATTTTGTTGGAAAGTTGGCCTTACATCGCAGTGCTTTAGGAAAAAGTAAATCCTTATCTGTGAAGTCGATGGCTTAACTTGAATTTTTCGGTTGGTGAAAAACATTAAAACGACAGATTTGCCATCCTAAAAAAAAAGTTTTCTCTTGACCCAAGCTTTAATTGTACGAACTACTTAAGGTGGTTATTTTGAGCTCTCCTTTGTAAGTAGTAAATCCATATACTTTTCACATTACTGTGGGGAAAACATGTTATTTGATTGATTGCCCAAGTTTGAACTGTTCTAAATTTCAGAATAAGAAAGTAAAATTTCAGTAAAGCTTTATAACTACAAATCCATTGACAAAGGTTTAGAGAAAGTTTTTCACTTACGAATTTATTAATATAATTCTCTTGAGGTTGCTTAGCAAAAAAATAGGAATTTTACAGGTGTTTTAAGATAAAGTCGTTTTGATTAGTTAGAGTCTGCAGATTAGAAATCTTCATTATCATAGTATTTCAATTAAACGTCATAATTTTGCCAGTTCTTATTTATGCATTCTGGATTTGTTTAAGACTCCAGATGGTCCTAGTTTTCTACAAAACATTATTCCAGGATTCTGTGTTGAAATTTTCTCAGTTGCTGTAATGTAGTGTGACAAGTCACTTGACCATTGCTTTAAAACTTAGAAGTATTTTGTGTTTTCTTTTTGGCAGTGATGTAGGTTCAAAACTTTTCCACTTAAAACAGTTTCTCATTGGTAACATTACTGTTTCATTGCAAAGGATTTATATTCCTCCTAGACAGGGAAGCCCTTAAGTATATTGGAAAATCTTAACCACATTATTCTCACTTTTTTTGGCGTTTGAACATTTTTGTATTTTCTAGTATATTGACTCACTTCATAATGGTTATACTGTATTTTATATTAATAATTTGAGTGGTTATAAATTCCCAGAGCTATATAGTATTGGGAAGGGCATGGGTTTCAGCAGCAGACATACCTGGGTTTGCATGCCAGGCTCACCACTAATTAGCTTTTTTATATTAGGTCAGTTAAACTCTCTGAACTTCACTTTTTCCTTGTATATAAAAATGTTAATTATAATACCTTAAAGGTGAAAGAAAGTGTCTAGTAAATATCAAGCATTTAGTAAATTTTGGCCTTTTTCTTTCTGTGACTTGAATTTAATTGGTGAAGTCATCTTGTCAGGTGTTTTTTTTTTTAGGTAAAATTGACATATAAATAGTTTAAGGTGTACAAAATAATGATTTGCTATCTGTATGTGTTGCAAAATGATCACAGTAAGTTTAATAACATCCATCACCATACATTGTTACAAGTTTTTCTTTTTGTGCTGAAAACTTTTGTATCTACTCTCTTAGCAACTTACAAATATGCAATATAGTATTGTTAACTACAGTCACCATGCTGTATATTACAACCCCATGAGTTGTGTATTTTATAACTGAAAGTTTGTACCTTTTGAATCCCCTTCATCCATTTCTCATACCTCCCCCACAGTTTTAAGTTTTCAAGATTAACTCGGATATCTTTGTTAGAAACTTTATGACTATTTCATTCTTCTGGTAACATTATTACTTCTTTCTCTTTGCTATTAAAGCATTTTGTGTATATCTTATGTATTGTGATTGTGTATCTTCACTAACTTTGTGAGATCTTTGAAGGCGGATGCTGTAGTGTCTTATATTTTTGTATTCATAAAATAGGCATTATAAAAATTAAGGAATCAATGAATGAATTTCTACAGAAATTCTCCCCATGACTCCATTGGGATCTGTGTTTCACACAGACCTGGTTAATTTCTGCTTCTTGGTCTTCTACCTTTCAGACTATTCATATCCTGTCCATTCCTCAAAATCCAGCTAAATTTTATCCTATTAATGAGGTTTTTAGTGACTTTCCCTTTATTTATAATTCTCTCCAGCTATCCTAGGGTTGGTGCGACTGCATTCTGTTACCTTGTGTCCTGTAGTACCTGGCATATGTCTTACTTGTTTAGAGTAGGTCCTTGGGTAGGACGATAAATGCAAAACTACTTTAGGCTAAGTTTTTAATAGGCATGTGCTATATTTACTGTCCCACTTAGATACTTTTTAAGGAGCAGTTTCCCTTTTTTTGTATGTGGGATATTCTTGTAAATTTTTCTGTCTTTATATGTTATGAGAAATTGCAAACATCTAGAAAAGCTGAAAGAATTACACAGCGAACACCCATTTAGATTTATCTGTTACTAACATTTAGCCATTTTGTTTTAGCTTTCTACATTTCTTCCTCCATCAACAACCAGTTGAAATTAAATTGCACATATCATGCTGTTTGTCCCCAAAATACCTCAGGATCCATCTTTATAAAGTACTGCCATTTTCTGGCACTTTTTACATTTTAATATCAAACTAGATTCCAGACCATATAAAAATACAATACCATTCTTACACCTAAGGCACTTACTTAACAAAAGTCTCTGGTATCGACTTTTTAAAGAATGTTACATACTTGGAATTTGCTGAATGAATGTTTAAATGTCACTTAACTTGTTTCTCTATTCCTTTTATTTCCTATGAATTAGAAGTTAGATCTAGAGGGGTTTGATTAAATTTGGGTCAGATATTTTTGGCAAAGATGCTTATAGGTGATTGTAGTTTACATTGCATCACATCAGGAAGGACAGAATGTCTGATGGTCCCGCTTCTAGTAGTGGCCCCTTAATAACACAGTGGGACTGCCAGGTGTGAACTTGCCCCACTGTTCACGATGCCTAGGTTTATGTGGTTGGTGTGGTGTCCACCACATTTCTTCACGGAAAAGGTACATTTTCCCTTCTCACCAGGTTGGTAATTGTTGGTTTAATCACTTTTTTCATTGGGGATTTTCTAACTCTGTTATTTGTTTACATTTATTAGCTGGTTTTTATGGGGGGGAGGGGAATGCTTCCTCTGCATTTGTGTTCTAAACTTTTAAGTTCTGAAATAAATACAAACTTGCAGAAGAGTTGGAATAGTAGTACCAAGAACTACCATAACTTGGTCCCTCTTCACTGGTTAACATTTTGTCACATTTGCTTTATCCCTCCTTCCTTCTGTCCTTTCCTTTTTGCCATCTCATAATTTTTCTAGAGTCGTTCACAGACATGTAACTTTTCCCCTAAAACCACATTCTTATAAATCCCATAATTTAACAGATTCTGGACATGTAATATTGACATACTATCTAATACTCAGATTTCATTTTCAGATTTCTCCCGTTGGGCCAGCAACATCCCTTATAGAATGTTATGTCTTTAGTCTTTAGTCAGCACTACTTATTGGGCCTTTTTTTCTGATTTTTTTTTTTTTTTTACAGTATAGGTCACTAGTTTTGTTTTCTCTTAGTTTTCAGAATATTATTACATACTCAGTGAATTCTTTTTTAGTATGTTAATTATGATCATTATTGTTTTTGATGCTTAAATTGTCCCAGATTTGGCCAGTGTGAGCCCTTCTTTGAGCCGGCTCTCATGTCCTTCCCCCTCTCCTTCTTTTTAAAAATTGAAGTATAGTTGATATACCATCTTATATTGGTTTCAAGTATACAACACAGTGGTTCCGCAGTTACCCGTTACCAAATCCTCATCCCCTCTAATATACAGCTACTCTCTGTCAACACAGGAAGATGTTACAGAATCATTGGCTATATTCTCCATGCTGTACTACCATCCCTGTGACCAACTTACGATTGAGAGTTTTTGTGTCCCTTTATCCCCCACCCCCAAACCTC